CCTTAAACCCTTAAGCCCTAAACCCACTTATATCCCATCATACGATTCCCCCAGGGTCGAAAGCCCTGGACGACGTGTGCACCGAGTACCTCGGTCCGGTGGCGACTGGTTGAGCTCCTCGGTCGTCGCCAAAGCAGAGACCTCGGTGAAGCAAGTCATGAAGGGCCAGGAGCACTATACATCCGGCTATGTGACCTGCGGCAGCAGGAGGGGGACGGGCCGGCTGAGGAGATTTTCAGAAGCAAACAAGCACTCCAGGCTGAGCTACCGGAGGACAGCCAGGAGGCTCCGTATATCCTGAAACACCCTGATTTGCCGGGATGCAAGGCTGGATGAGTGGAAAAAGGGTTCTAGTTATTTGTTGAAACCTTATAAACGGCCCTCAGCCTTATAAGCCCGATAGGAATGGACCTTGATCCGGACTTTCAAAGAAGCGACCCTGACGCGAAAAGACACCACTTCGAAGACGACTTCCTTGGAGACCGACAAGGTGAATCTCGATGCCGGGACCACCCGAGCCGTGATGCCACTGGGTTACACAAAAGACCTGTACCTGTTTAAACCCAGCGCCCTGAAACCCTTGTGTTGTAGGGATTAGGGTTTTAGGGTTTGGGGTTTTAGGGCTTAGGGTTTAGGGCTTTAGGGGTTTAGGGTTGTAGACCCGCCAGCCAGGGCCAGCATGGCACATGGCCTCGAGATTGCCGTGCCGGCTGGTTCGGATACCAGCTCCAGTGGGATTACACGCCGGCCATCCTCGATGGCCTTGCCAGTGGCTCTTGGCGATCAGGAGGCAGGCTCGGCTTTGACGTCCATCCAGGATCCCATGGACAAGAAAAAGAAGACGGCCCTCCTGAACCAAGCCAAGAACAAGATTGCCCTGGCTTCCACGAAGCTAGACGAGGCGACGGTTCTGCAGGAGGAGATTTCCGCGAGCGAGAATATGTAACCCTGATGCAATGTAAAAACAAAACCCAAAATCCTAGCGAGAGCCTAAACCCCTAAACCCTTTTAAACCCGAAAATCGCCCCACCAAAGAACCCCCCGGTCTCGAAATTAAACCCCTAAACCCTGAAGCCTAGACTTAGCCTCTGCCAACACTAGCTGCCCTTGTCATGAGTCCAGGTCACAGCCCATCCGCGACGGCTTCCTCAAGGATCTGCAGAATCACGGCCAAAGCCTTGGGCAAGCCAGGGACAAGCTGAGCGCTGAGCTGGACAAGGGCTCGGGTCAGCTGCTTCAGGAGCTCTTAGATGATCTCAATCAAAAGATTACCAATTATGTGCAATCCACGAATGGGATGAAGAAGCTGTCGGCCACCAGGCTAGCAGCACTTTGTCGTCGAGCATACCTTGGGGTCAGATTGGTCTTGGAAACCAAAACCTTTAAATTAAACTGAGAGGGTGTAGGTGTCAGCTCAAGTGATCTGCTGACACTGGCAACAGATCGCAAAACGAAGCAGTCCACTCTTTTCACTCCAACAAACTAAGCTCTTGTGCCTCCACAGCGGCGGTCGAGAGAGAGTCACCAACGTCACCTGCGAGTGGCGGCTTCTTCACGTTTACACTGGTAAAAACTCTCTCTATCCTTTACAAAAAGGCCTCTCTTGAACGGTAGCTGTACGCCGTTCTTCAGGCAGTCCCACCATCCTTCTACCCGATTGGGCTTCGTCAACGGGTCTGCCAACTGAGTGGCCGTGGGGATCCACTGGAACGGAAGTCTATCAGACCACCTTTCTAGACGTAGTTCTTGCCTCAACGCCGCCAAGTCGATGGCTAGACGGCGATCCGAAGGCACCTTGGGCACGCCGGTCTTGTGAAGGAAGTCGAAGAGGGACTTGCAGTCGGAAAGGCACACGATGGGCCATCGTTGTCTGGCTTCTGCATGTCCCATCAGGCGTCCCGTCAAAAGGGTGCCCAGCAAGGCTCGCATGTACTGCGCGCCTTCCAAGCCTTCAGCAGCGGCCATCGTCTCCGCCCCGAAAGTCGATCTGCAAACGCGTTTGCAGCTCTGGCTCCTCCATTCCAGGGTGCTTCCACGAGCATGTTCTCCATCTAGGACTTCCATGGGGAACAACATGATGAGGTGCCCGATCTGAGAAGCAACCTTTGACCCAGCGCGCTTGGGTTGTCTCGGCCCTCGGCTTGTCCGCGTAGAAGTCGTTGATGGCTCCGGCGTTGATCTCCTCCGGGTCAAGTCTGAAATCATCCTCGGCCTCCTCGAGGTCGGCGTTCGCCCATCCCGCGTCGTGGTAGGCGAGGAACACGGCTCGGTGAAGAGGAACTCGTCGTAGGTAAACCCCGAACTCGCGGTGCTCCTTGGCTCTGGCGGTCAAGCGGTTGACGAACCTGACGTCGTCCACAGAAGGTGCACGTTGCAGCTGCTGCGACAAAGCCACTCCGCAAGCCAGATCTGGGCGGCTCTGGCTGCTAAGCCAGCTCAGTGCGCCCAGCCGGGGCCTTGCCGTCCTGGTTCCTAGGCACCTCTATAGTGAACAGCCTGCCGTCGACAAAGGAGGCCTGATTCACGGTCACCCCTTCCTCGGAGTACTCAAAGGCGCCCTCGATCCAGCCGTCGACCGGGAACAGGCGGCTTATCTCGGTCTGTAGGAACTTATTCAGCGGGGCGGGGGCTCCTATGAGGATGTCGTCGACGTGCACCGTGAGAAGGGCCTCGGGCTCCCTGGGCTCTCCCTCCTGTAGCAGCATGAAGACGCACGGGTCCAATGGGCTCTGGACCAGCTTGTAGGTGTTCCCGTCGTAGACAAAGACCTCGGTGGTCAACACTCCAGATATGCGGTCGTACCACATCCGGGGGGACTCTATGAGGCCAAAGATGCCCTTGTTGACCTTCGCGATCTGCCTCGGGTCCAAGCCTTCCACGCCGCCCTTAATTCGGCTGGGATATCCACAGTTCACGACGAAGCTCGACAGAAAGCCGCCTGAACATCGCCGGCGGCGAGCTGCCATTGCTTTGACGCACTCACCTGTAGGACCGTGAGCAGTGAAGACCTGGCGACGGTGGGGGAATCCGTGGTGAGGTTGCCGCTTGCTCTGGATCTGCATGTCCGCCTACTACTAGGCGGGCCTTCGGCTTCCATGGAGCGTCCGGTTGGACGCGTCGTAACCCCATATGCTTATCTTTATAAGCGTAGCGGGTGTTCAGGATGCGCTCAGCGGGCACAGTCGCTCGGATCCGCTCACTCTCCGCCACAGAGAGCACAGTGATCGCCTGGTTGTTCTCATGCTCGGACCACTGCTTGCCCTCGGCGGCGCGGAAGCTGGGCCTCATCCCCTCGGGCATGAGGGCCCATGGTATTTCTTTTTCCAGGGCCTTTTCACGCGATCGCTGAGTTTTGGCTTTCTTCATCATCAGTACGCTCTGGCCATCGGGTCTCCTTTGCGCCGTTGCGTCTTGAGAACGACCGGGGGCGGGTCCTCTGGTCCTCGTCGAACTCCATGTCGATCAGCCTCGGGCTCGCCGTGAGCCAATTCGGCCATCACGTGGTCTTCGTCGGCCTCGTCCTCGTCAAGAACCATGTCGCCGATGCCCCCGGCGTCGGGCTCCCCCTCGTCGAAGACTTCCTCTTCGTCCTCAGCGTTTAGGAGCTTGTCCAAGTCCTCTCGGGCGGCTCGTAGGCAGAAGGCTTGCCCGAGTTCTTCCGGCGTAGCCAAACGAAGGTGTTCCGGAGCGCATAACACGCACCGGCCGCCGCGTGTCACCCAAGCATTGACGCCCTCGTAGCCGATCACGGTTCCTGGCCCCATCCAAACACCGCGCTTGTTGTTCTTGGTCTTCCTGTAGTAGAACACCCGCTCGCCGCACTCCGGTGCGCGGCTGACCACCCTCGTCCGCCCAGAAAGAGCTCGGCGAACTCGTTCGTCAGTCTGTACATGGTAGTAGGCGGCACGTGCTGCACTGCGAATGGCCACCTCCTGTGCATGCCGGTCGTCGATGATCGCCTCCTGGTCGGGGTCCATCGCGTGGGGGCCGAAGAGCAGGTCCTCAGGGTCATTCGGTAAGAAGCCGAACACATGCTGGGCCGGGCTCTACCCGCTGATCCGGGCCAGCGTATTCTTTGCTGCAAGACCGCCCCAACGGCCAGCAGGATGTCGCCCTTAATTGGTGACGGTCAGCTCGTCGCACAACTTGGCGAAGATTGCTTTCCAAATCCCACCTTGCCGTTCGGTGTACCCGGCCTGAAAATGGGCCTGGCCAGCCGCATTGCGGATTCGGGTGCCGGTCCAATCACCGACACGAGCAATAAGGGACTTCTCGAGACCGTTCTCGAGGTCGACGGCGATGACTGTCGGGGCACCGAAGATATTCAACCAGTTCTCGCAGTAGGCCTTCTCAAGGGTGGAGGTGTCCTTTCTCGGTACAGGGACAACCACGTGGTAGGCAGAGGAGTAGTCGACGATGGACAACAGTTGGTGTCGATCTCCTCCGGAATCGTGCACATAAAAGAGGTCAACGCCGATCATCTGGTTGAAGCGCAGACAGGGAGCCACTTTCGCCGGTTTGGCGATGCCCGGCGCCTTGGCTCTCTTGCACACTTCGCACTCCAGGCCCTTCGCTGCCTTCAGCACTTCTCGAGATGCTCCCGCGAGTCGTAGGTGGCGGGAGAAGTCGATGGGGCTGGGATGCCCCAAGTTCTGGTGCAGCCTCCTGAGGCTACTCGCTATCTTTCCAGGCACACTGGCGGGGAAGCTGATGGCCTTAGCGCCTCGCTCGTTGAGAACATCCCCTTGATGATCACCGAGATGTTCCACGGCAGGAATAAGTTCGTCACCGTCCTCCTCGTTGGCGACCTCGCCAACCATCACCTCGTGCGGCTCCGGCACGTCAATCGCGTAGGTGACCCGAACAAGTTCGTTGCCTTCCTCGTCCCGATCGAACGAGGTGGAGTAGCCGCTTTCATTCCATCCATTCACGAAGTTCTCCCACAGGTGGTCGTCGGAAACGTTCCGTTCGAAGATCACAGAGCGGCCCTCGCTGAGTTGGCGCCCGGCAGCCTCAACGATATCACTGAAGACCTTTGGTTCCTTCCACTCGGGTCGTACATACCAGACTTTTCCTCGGAGGCCGACG